TATCGGATCAAATTAAAAAACTAAATTTATACTTTAGCATTTAAGTAATTTAGTAAATTAGAATGACGCCATAAATCTCCACTTTGCAAAACATTCTCAGGTTCATTAAGTACTCCTTAAGTCTTTTTCATAAAAAAAAAAGTTGTTTAAAGTATACTTTTAGTCATTTAACTTTATATAGGATTTCATTTTGACCCCTTAACTTTAAAAAGTAAACTTTTAGTTTTCTAATCCAAAAACTGTTAACAAAAATGATAATACTGAGTTCTTAAATGCTAATAAAATATTACTAAATGTTAAGATATTAAATTTAATATTTAAAACAATCATAACTGTTACAAAAAATCATTATTTAAGACTAACAATTTTAGGGTTAAATAACTAAAAGTATACTTTTTTAAGTTAAGGAACCAAAATGAAACCTTACATAAAGTTAAAGGACCAAATGTATACTTTAGCCAAAAAATTTAATCAAATTATATAGATTAAAAAATTAGTTCAAATTAGTTATAGATAATAAATATATAAAAATTGTAAGATTTTTCTCAAAAATATCCTTATTTATAGGATAAATAGTATGAGGGAGAAATTAAAAAAATGATATTTTGAAACATGAGATAATAAAAATATTAAATATTAAAATAAGTAATTAATAGAATAAAATAAGAAGCTAAACAAAAAAATTTGGAACATCTTGTAGATATTTCTTATAAATAGGATAGAGACAATAGTTATTTTTTTTTATATACAAAGGGATGGAAGCAGCAACATAGAGTTTTCTAAATAATTTTTATAGTAATTAATACTTTCGATCTATCAATTTCTTAAAATAAAAACCATCCAACAAACATTAAAAACTATTTTAATTTAAAATAAATTTTTAGAATGATTAATAACATAAGTTTAAATAGTCGGATTAAACTGCTACTTAGAATCTCTCCATGTCCGGAGAACTGGGGTAATTTCTTAGAAGTTTGGTTGCTCCTGTTTTAGCCATTGCTTGTTCTCTTTAATGCAATGCGTGTTGAGTTGCCGTCGAAAAATATATAACCGGCATATTTTACCATTATACTACTTCCGATCCTTAATATAAGACCTTATTTGATTTTTATTTTGGTCTTAAATATAAGACTCTAATATATTTTATCTTTAATATTTATACTTTTTTTTTTGAGATAGTCTTTTTAACAATAATAGTATTAGCCATTACATTTAATTAATAAAGATATTTTTAAAAAAATAATATTTATTTATTATAAACAATTAATTAATTAGAAACGGAGGTAGTATTATCTTTCCATCAAGGATGAACGCGGGACCGCGCAGGCCTAAACCTTCTGGAATGTACGAAACTTTTACCTGCTTAGTTGTTTCGCTCATTCATACCACATTTCCAGTGACTCGTTTCGTTTCAACGCTATTTTTATTCAAGTTTATGATCCCTCAATTAAAAATGTTTGAATTGACATGCTTTTTTTTTTTTTCCATGACATAGCATGTCACTGTACATTAGCAAAATTCATAACCCATGGGTACGAGAATTAAAAGTTGGCTCTGATGCCATTTTAGAACTAAAAAGGTGTTTGAATAAAACCAAATCATAGTTTAGAGAATAGCTTCTACAAAATAGATTCTGAGAAGAATAGATTTTGTGAAAAAGTGATTTTGAGAAGTGAAAGTGTTTGGATAGTTGTTATTAGAAGCACTTTTTATATATACAAATTACTAAAAAAACATAAGTTAATATAATAATTACAAAAAAGATAGATTTTATGATATATTTTAATTTGAAGGAATAAAATTGTTAATAATATATTTTTTACCAACATAATTAATAATACATAAGATAATATAATTAATATGTGTATATATATTTATAAGATATAAGATTAAATATGTTTATAAAAAAATAATTCAGAGATGTTAAAATTATATTATTGTTGAGATCTACTCTGACAGGTATAATTATATTCTCAAATTTGAACGAGAAGCAGAATGGATTCACTTTTCCTGAAATCATAATTTTGGACTCTAAAACTATGGTTTTCACCCATAATCATGGTTTCAGATTATTTCTCTAAAATTGATGTTGTTTGAGTGACATCCCACCCAAATCATGATTTTACTTCCTAAACTATGGGAAGACACCAAAACAGGCCCTAAATCTCAAATATGCAGAAAAGAATGCACGAAAATAAGCAACAATCGTTTGTATTTAGTATTTCTCGAAATGTGCATTGATTCACCATGCCTTATGCAGGCAAGAACGAAAGTACAAGGATGAGAAAAATAAAAGAGAACACGTGTCACAGATTAGGAATATCTAGAGGAACTAGAGCCAGGCGTAACGAACTGAAAGCACATTTCATGCTTATAACAATTTAGACCATTCAGATCGATTTTAGATGGTTCAGGTTGAATTTAAAATTTTTATATATTTTAATTAACCTTTTGTTTTAATAGATACATGATTTAAAATAAATATAATATCGTAACTAATATACCTTCAAAAAATAAATGTATCGTTGAAAAAATTGTATATTAAAAATTTTAAATCTCAACCATCCATATTAGATTTTAGATTGTTTAGATTGCATTATAATAAAAAGCATATGGTGCTTATTATTGTGATAAACTAAAATGAAGACCCTAACTATATAATAAATTGGGGCTTAATATATTGAATCCTTCTTGGGCTGATTGGGTTACTATAATATTATTACTGAACAAAAATAATTCAAATTCTTATTGAGATATATGGACTGAAGTTTGGATATAAAAAAAATGTCTGATTTGAAATTATGAAGACTAAAACTAAAATCAAAACAAGTTATAAGAAATAAAATTTATATTAACTCTTTATACTTTCAATTGTTACGCCAATGCCAAATATGAGATTTATTTTTTATGTTTCTTTTTCATCGCAAGGATGTAACATTTTTTGTTGCCTTGCTAAAGAAAGAACACAGATACACAAGAATCAAGAATGTATCAAACCACTGTATTTTTTTCAAAAAAAAAAAACAAGAGAGAGAAAACAATTTATTGTCTGTGAACCAAGTAGTGTAATTTAGTAATGAATATTGATTCTCACAAAGAAAAGGTCTGAAAGAAAACTCTACCTTATATACATAATGCACTAGCTATATAAAATAAAATACTAAATATAGGCTTAGTTATTTAATTTTATACAAGTTTTTAATTTCATTTTTTTACTTTAAAAATTATATTTTTAGTCTTTTAATATTTATATCGTAAGGATTAAGTGATGATTTTTTTAAAGAATAACTATGATTATTTTAAAAATTAAACTCAATATATTAGTATTTAGAAATATTTTATTAATATTTAAAATTTTAAAGTTATTATTTTTTGTTAATTTTTTCAAGTTAAGATACTAAACTAAAACTTTGTATAAAGATAAAAGATTAAGAGTATACTTCTTTCATAAATAAATCCTTTTATTACCAAAAAAAATAAGAACATTTTGGATATACATAAATATTATATTTTTCATTTAAAATCAATAAAAGGATGAGATATTAATTTATTAAACTTTAATTGTTAACATTTAAATGGTTTGTTAAATAAAAGACCTAATTCCCTAGCTGTATTCATAATTCTAAATTTTCTCGACAAAATTAATCCTATCTTTTGAATCACTATTATTTCAATAAGTTAGACGTTATCGTTAAACTGAAATATATATTATATACATGGAAAGGAGGCAGTACAAGGTTAAGAAATATGGCAGCGTTTCAAATACCGGTAGAGTTAAATATTTCTTATGATAATATTCAATGCCGTAAATCTCATCATTTTTGCTGGTAAAAGAAACTAATCACTTTTTAATATATTTATAGGAAAACGTTGTATCAATGGAACTCCATCAAGTACATATCAGTAAGCAAGATATCCCTGCATGCAAAAAAGGTGTAAGGTAAATTTTATAAAAGGTATCAGTAAAATGAGCGTGACGAACCGATTAATCCACGCACTTGCTCGCTTCTCCAAAAGCAAAATAAAAAGTAAGGGTTTCATATGAGCAAATATTTAGCAAGAATGACCTTTAAACAAAGCAGAAGGCCAACAAAAAAAAATCATCATTCCGGTAAAAACAAAAAACAAAAAAAATCATTATAAATTCCATAATTGTGAATATAGGCGCTATTATGTTAAGATCCTGTCTTGGTAGATGACAATGGAGTATGAAAATGTATCCTTTTCCAAAAAACTTGGACAATTTAACATATCCCCTTCTTGAAAGAGAATCCCCACACCCATCTCACCCATCCCTATTTTGGTTCAGTGATCTATAAAACCCACGAGCTCCTCTCCTCTATACGCAGAGGTGGGCGTGCTATAAGAGATTATAGGCGACAGAGAATGGGCAGCGACAGGGACAGAGAATCCGTCAATCCGAGTAGGAAACAGCACAACTTTCCAACACTTCAGAACTTTTAGAAAAATATGTATCCTTAGTTGAGAGTGTTTTTTAAAAAAGGAGGAGGAGGAAAATGATGCCTGAATCGATGGAAACAAAGTGGTAGATTAAGAGAGGAAGAGGGAAGGAAGGGTAAAAGGTGGAGGCGAGGTTGGGCGGTGGAGTTCGCCCCCAAATTTGAACAATTGAGTGTCAATACAGAGACATGACGAACGAACGGCGTTGAACTTCAGAATAGCTGACGATGACAAAGAGGAAGAGGGCGCCGTAGGATCATTGCCGATGAGAAAGAGTTTGTCGCAGGCAGGTCGAAGGGTGGAATCGTGGGTGGTAAGGTTTAAGTTTTTGAGGAAATTCATTTACCGAGAACCAATTTTCCTGCCTACCAAATCATGAAAAATAGGTTTTCTATTTCCCGAGCATCGTTTCGGCGAATCAAATGGGGCCTAAAGGTGATGTTGTGGTTTACTGATTTATCGACAACTTTTTAGTACTAATAACAGCAATATTTCAGTTGCATAGAATCTTTCAGAAGAGGTGCTAGACTACTAGTTCAAAACATCAAAATAATGTTCAAACACAATAAATCTTACTTCATAGAGAACAAGGCCCTCTTTTCTTTCTAGAGATAATAATTGCTTCGTATCTTCCTAATTATAAATCTATACAGAACACAAAGTAGAGTGCCACATTGCATCTTACACATGCTGAGGATACAAACAAGAAGCATATTCCAAATATCACGGGAGCAATTTTGGGTTGCATCCTAGTACAATAGCAGCAAAACAAATGGATATTACGAAACACGAGAGCCTAAGCTACGATAAAGTTTATTTTATCATACAACTGTACCTTTGGGTCCGCTGTTGGAAATGATCAAGCCCCACACAAGAACCATTCTGAATACTTCCCGTAACAAACAGGAAACCAGAGCGGAAATGCCATTCTCGAACCAGACTAAGCTGATTCATCATTAGGCTTCCCGAAGATCAGTGGAAATTCATCATCATGCTCCGAAAAACTTTGGTCCTTGGACAGACTCTTCAACGAATGATAAACCTGGTACATTGACAACCTATCCTTAGGATGAGAAACCACACAGTTACAGGCAATTCTCAGAAACTGCAAAATCTCCTCATCATGTCCCTTCCCAGTTATGGCCTTGTCAATGCAATCCTTGATGCGACCAGAATTAGAAAGCGTATTCACCCAATTCGCTAAATTACCCTTAATTTCTTCCTCTCCAATGCTGACTTCAAGAGGTTTCTGCCCAGTGACCAACTCCAAAAGCACAACCCCAAATCCATAAACGTCTCCTTTTAGTGAAGGAAAAGGGGTGCTAGTATATTCTGGAGCTATGTAGCCAAGTTCCCCGAAGTCTCCATTCACAAAACTAGTCCCTTCTGAGTCAGATGTCATAAGTCGGGCAAGTCCAGAATCCATTAAACGAGCATCAAAATCTTCGTCAACAAGAATCACATTGGAACAGATATTTTGGTGTATGATTGGAGGATGGGACCCATGATGCAGCCAGGCAAGACCCCTAGCCGCCCCCAAGCCAATTCTGAATCTCATGGGCCAGTCCAATGCATTGCCGTTTCTGTGCAGCAAGGAGAAGAGAGTTCCATTTGACATGTACTTGTAAACCAGTAACTTTTCCTCTTCCACCATACAGAATCCCAAAAGAGGTGCCAAATTCGGGTGTCTGAGAAGGCCTAGCCTATTCATCTCCACGCGGAATAGCTTCTCCAAAATTTTGCATGTGTTGAGCCGTTTGACTGCAAGGGTTGACCCATCAGGAAGATCTGCCTTGTAAGTAGTTCCTGTTCTTGTTGAAATAAGAATGTTTTCAGCACTGAAATTATTGGTAGCCGCCATCAAATCGCCTAGTTTAACCTTCACAAGGGGTTTTTGGAATAGAGTGACTTGCACGAGCTTGTAGCCCCTCAATTTCACAGCCCAATTATCACTTGCTCCGTCTCCAAACCCCTTCTTACCCAACCTCAGATGGTACCACCACCAGAGCCCAAGAGCCAATAACAAAGAAGCAGCTGCACCAAATACCCCAGCAGCTATAATAATGGCAAGATTCTTCTTACTCAGCCCTCCACACTTAGATCCAAGAGGACCCCCACAAAGACCACTATTCCCCTCAAAGTTTTCCTTGCCGAACCGACTTAAAGACGAAGGAATCGCACCCTCAAGATGATTATTTGCAACCGAAAACTTGCTAAGCCTGCTCAAGCTCCCAATTTCGGCAGGGATGACACCTGAAAGCTGATTACTGTTAAGGCTTAACTCATTCAAATACGAGCAATTCCCGAGAGAAGGGGGGATAGGTCCGGAAAGACGATTTGCCGACAAGTCAAGGTTCACTAAATAGCGCATCCACACACAAATCTGTTCGGGGATCGTACCAGAAAGGGCGTTGGACCCAAGATCCAGTCGTTGCAGACTACCACAGTACTTCAAGGACTCCGGCACGCGACCGGAGAGGTCCATACTATTGAGGACAAGACTGATGATCCGATTCTGCTGGTCATTCCAGCACGTAACGCCGTTGAATCGGCAAATGAAACCGGGTGTGTTGTTGTTGAATTGCCACGATGAAAGCGTTCCACCAGGACCACCGAACGAATTTTGGAGGCCCTTGAGGCATTTCACGTCATCTTCAACCTCCGACGCAGCAAAACCCCATAAGCCCACGGAGCTGCACAATAGCAGCAGAAGGAAATTCCTGAGATCCAGTGAAGCTTTGCCCATCATGAAAGGAAGGGGAAGCTTTGTGTGTTTGCGGTGAATTAGTGGTTAAAAATATCGTGGGAACGGGTTCAGAAAAAGCAAGGTAGACCGAGATGCCATTGACTTTTTGGGCGTAGGTTTGGAAATTGAGGATGAGAAAATACCAGACAGGTGCAGAGCTTATGAAAAGTGGAGTGAGAATCGCGGTGGATTTTTCTTCTTCGCTTACTCGATTAATGAGAACAACTGCTTCTTTGACTCATGTAGTCGCTTGGAAGGGGGAAGGATTTGACCAAATTGTTTGGCACGCGTAGAAAAAATGGAATAAAAGGTGATTTTATGAATGCACAAGATCGTCTATATTTATTACCAAAATGGCAAAAAAACCTTGTAAATAAAAAAATTATAAATAGAAAACTATTATAATATTAGTATTGGTTTTGATAACAGATGCCAATAATTTTTGTAAGTAGATCTTTGTACATAATTTTCTAAGTTTTAGGGTTTTTTTTATTCTCCTTAAAAATTCTTTAATTGAAAAATTTATTGTCAAAAGGAAGCGGACCCACATCCCTTGGCCCATAATATGAATGAGAACGAAATGATCAAAATGCCTTATGAAAAGCTCAAAACAATACGCCGGAAGAACCCGAACGATGACTCGGTGACTGGAGAAGCTCGTATCCAGCGCGTGTATTTCTGGGTTTGGTTGTTGTAGTTTGATAGTAACGTATTGGTTTGGTTTTCGTTTGATCCGAATGAATGAATCAGTTTAGCCTGTATAGATTGATCATATGAGTGATGAGTTTAGTACTTCTAACTGGATCTCCTATGTTTTCAACGTGCATGCCAATCGCTTCGCGATATCTTGAATCTTTTTTATTATATTCTTTTACTATTCCTCCGGTTCTAAATATAAAACTCTTATACTAATGTATATGTAAGAGTCTTATATTTAGAATCGGAGGAATAATTTTTTTTTTTAGCTGATATTCTTCTACTAATTCTAAATGTAAAAATTAAACACTACCAAATTTAGTTAAATCAATTATTTATATATATATAAAATATGCATTAGACTTTTAGAAATATTTTCTTTAATCATTTTGCAGGAAACATATTTAATATGTGGATATTTGATTTTTACTGGCCTAAAAGTACTTTTCAAAGACTAATTATATTCAATTCTGGTCAAAATGCTTGGAAACTGGAAGTTTTGTATGCACTTAATTAGCGAACTCGTCTAGAGTTTTACATTATTGTAATGTAGAATTACGAATTGGTGGACGATTGGTCAATTTTAAAACTGAGGTGAAAAAAAAATCTAAATACTTTGCCACAGCATTGAACTGGTTTTGAGGTTTGTGGCCGAGAGATTGATGCAGGGAGAGAAATCCTTGGCCCAAAAAAAAAAATTATACAGAGAGTGAAATGATGAATAATCCTCCATGTGCATTTAAAACTTGGCTGCCAAAAAAAAAAAAAGTTGGCTGCCCTTTCAATAGGTTCAATTATTACGATGTGAAGCTGAATCTATTTTCTGCCTCGTGCCATAGCCACGTGAATTGTACGAGAAGTGAACCTTCGCAGCGTCTTTCATCATAACACATGTAGTGATTTGGACTTCCCTCCTGGAACTCTCTTGTTAACCTCTCTCAACTTGGTGAGCAGAATCCATACGGGCATACACCACCCAACCAGACAAAACTCATGTTTGGCTGTTTCTCAATTCCATCTCCATCTCCTCACTTTTCTATTCTTTTTTCTGATAACAGAATTTTTGAAAAAGGGTCGGGCTCACCCACAATTCAAAGGCAGGGCGAAATCTTCCTTCCTCTCAAGTTATACCAATATTAGACAGGGCGAGTCGTCAATTACCTTCAGGCGTTTATCTAAACACCCAAGAACTAGGATGCCTCCCCGAGCACCGTGACTGAAACCCTCACTTTTCTATTCTTTCTTGAAAGCAATTTGTCTTCCTTTCTCCTCTCTTCTTTTCCATTCCCACGGTGCGCTGACATCGCATTAGCCATGTCATAATTTGAATTTAATTCCCATCCATGAATAAATTAATAACCAAACAAAACCCCACCAAACAAAATGAATTTTAAATAAAGCATTTACGAGTTTCGTATCTCCTAAATTCCCTGTATTTACTGCAGATGATTTTACTAACCCCACATGCTGTGCGGCCCAATTAATCAGAAATCAGGACACATTATGCAAACCAAATTACTACTATTAATCTTCCCCAAGAAAACATCTAAGATGTCTTATTAATATCTTCATTTTTCATGGCCACACTAATATCATGACATGACTATCACGCCGGAGGAACAGTGCGGGCGGTAAAGTGAAATTTGCTGTAGTTTTTTATTCTCGAAAAATCTTGCTATAGTTTATGCATTAACGATATATATAAGTGATGATAAAAATTTTATTATTTGTGAATAGTAGAACTTAATATTATATAGTAAATTATAGAATATTATATTGAAATTGATGTAGTCTGTTGGTAAAAATATAATTATTAATCGATATATTAATCAATATTAAATATTGCAAGATTCATCATAAATGATGCTTTGTTTTTTTGGCCAACATAAATGATGCTATTAAGAATAAAATGCTGTTTTGGCCAAAACCAATAATAAAATGCTGGTCGTGTCTGGACTACGTACATAATTGCGTTTGGTACTATTGTAAGCATAAATATGGCGGATCTGCCACGTGGCTTCGAGAACGAAAATGAATTGTTCAATCCGGCGAGCCGCTGCATATAATCAGTGGCTATGTGCGCCCACAGGCGACTCTGAATCGTCCGTTTGAAGCTGCTCTCCGTCCGCAGAACCTGACGCCACCATCTTTTCTTTATCTATTGGTAAAGTCAGCCCATCTTTCCTCATCAGCCATCTCCTTCTTCCTTCCTATATTATTTTTGGACATTTTCTCTCTCATCATATTCGCCTTTTTGTCCTGGTATCAAACCGATCACTCAATTTCTATGCAAACCAATTGTTTTTACGCACAATGTGTATTTAGTTTCTGAATCTCGGTTTCACTATATATGCGCTGGCTTAAGAACAATCCGATAAGCACACTCGGTTGGATTCTTATTTGCGCTTAACTTCTTGAGATTGAGGTTTCCGCATATTCTTCAATGTTGTTTTGCTTCATCTGTTTGTTTGTCTTCATTCATTATTTGTTGATGCTATATGAGTGGGAAATGGCTTGTGGAATCAGATTAAGTGTTTGAATTCTGAATTGGTAAAATCTAAATTCGGCGATTGTTACCTCCGTGTGATTTGTGGATGCTGATATTGGAGTTTGTGCAATGAGGAATTGCTGTAATGTTAATTGAACGCTGGTCTCAATATAAATTGACAGACCAATGTTCAGGAGTTAAGTGATGCGAGGCGTGTTCTTACATATTTGGAACTTCAAGTCTTTTGCCTTTATTCTCTTATCATCCAATCACTTCGTTTTTTGGCTGTTAATACTCCGGGAGTATCTGACCAATTTTAGGCCCGCGTAGCTATCGGAAGTAGCTTATATTTCAGTTTGTGTGGTTCTTCGTGGTTGTTAGGATTTGGTTGATTTTGGTGAAAAGATTTGTTTACCAGATGACTTGTTGATCACTCGATATTCTGTATAGCTATGCAAATCCGTTTTAGATTCTATGCATCTGATTTTCACTATTACTTAATCGGATGTTCATTGCACAAATGGTGCTTGATTAATTGCTCCAAGGAACATGGTTCTGGATCTGATTGTCGGTCTATCAGTTTCAGTAGGTATTGATGGACTGTGTTGGGAAGTCATGCCTTTGGAGTAACTAAGAAGTATAAGAAAAGCCAATTAGATTATCTGTAAACTGAGGTTAGGTTGGGTTTTCTCTTGTTTTGCTGTTGTGGGGCAACATACTCCTCCAGCTCTAGAAAACTGTTGCAATGTTTCATAGTCTTCTCTGCTATAGGATAGAATACGGCATATAACTATTGTCTGCATCAAAGTCTTCTGAAGTGTTGATTTTTGCAGCATAATGTTAATTGATCTTTTTCTTCATATATTATTGTCTTCACATGAGAATGAATGTCGTTAAATTGTAGAAACATATATACAATATTTTGAGACAGTTGGGCATACAGCATATTAAGTTGATGCAGTCCTTGGTGCAGGATATTGATCATAACTTCAAATGGCTTCCTCCACTCTCATTAGTGACACTCAACCTTGGAAGGAGTTGAGGGTAACTGGGAGAATACTTCTTTCAAATGTACTATCGTGAACTGCTGTGAAAATACTATTAACAACTTCTCGCTTTTTGCAGGCCCATGTTGATGAGATCAAAAAGACCCATTTACGTGATCTATTGGGTGACGTCAAAAGATGTGAATCAATGGCAGTGTATGATGCTGTATATACTCACTATGTGCTATTATATGTTTCAGGACTCGTAACAATGAAATAAAGAGCCCGCAATTTTGGGGATTTATTGATATTGAAAGATTAGGATAAAAGATCATATTTTCCTTTGCACTTAGTATATTAAGCGACACCAGCACACTTGCAATGTGATGAATATCTTTCTGATTTCGGTGTGCTTTTCCTCTGTAGTGAGTTTGATGGAATTCTGTTGGATTACTCAAGGCAACAGGCTACTCTTGACACGATCAATAAACTCTTTAACTTGGCTGAGGTCAGTTCTTTGCATCTAGGTATCTCAAGAGCTTAACTTATTTTTGGGCACTCGGTTGGTCCCTTCTTTTAAAACATAAGTCAAATACCATACTGATATTGCCATCTGAATTATTGTTGATTGTGCTGTTATACAGGCTGCATCTCTGAAACAAAAGATTAACAGCATGTACAATGGGGAGCATGTAAGTGGTTATGTAAATATATAACTAGTCTTAAGTACAAATATTATACATTGTACATATCAACAGTATTCTTCTCCTTTTTCATTTTTCTAATGAAAGGTTTTGACAAGATTTTAAAACATGTCTGAAAATCCTGCTGCTTATCTTCTATAGACTGTAACATTGCAATGATGTATATAGTGGATTCAGTGGCTAAATCGCCTGACTCATTAATTCTTGTGCGCCTTTGATTGGACTTTCAGATTAACAGGACAGAGAATAGATCAGTGCTTCATGTAGCCCTTCGTGCTCCAAGGGATTCTGTTATACAGAGTGATGGAAAGAATGTTGTCCCGGAGGTTTGGAAAGTTCTGGATAAGATCCGGGAGTTCTCTGAGAGGGTCCGCAGTGGATCTTGGGTAATCAACCTCTCCATTTTCCCATGCTGACAATTCTGGAACTTGAGAGTATTGAGCATTTTTATTATTTATAGGTTGGAGCTACAGGAAAGGTTTTGAAGGATGTTGTTGCAATTGGTATTGGGGGAAGCTTCTTAGGTCCCTTGTTTGTGCACACTGCTCTTCAAACGGGTTGGTGATACTCGCCAGTCTCTCATTGCAGTCCCCTACTATTCTCTTGGGTCACCCTTAATTTATGTTTCTTTGAGCATATGTACATGTCATTGACCTCAGCCACAACAAGAAGTGTTGAATATATATTTTTGGCATCTTACAGATCCTGAAGCTATTGGATCGGCAAGAGGTCGTCAGCTGCGCTTGTAAGTTATTTTGTTACTGTGGTTTCCAAAGTCTGGTTTTTTATATCAAGTGAACAACTTGAGTGGTTTTAATTTTGAGTCTGTCTGTTCAAGCTTTTCAGGATTTTCTCCCCATGACTGTTCTGTCTCATACTTTGATCACACGGCGAACTTTAATTTGTAGAAGGGTTTATAGAAGGGCTGTTTTTAGAAGTTTCATTCAGATGATATTTCATAATTACTAAGTGCTGATTATTTTTTTAAATTGCTAATCGTTGCATGTAAATGTGCCTGTAAAAGGCTGTAAAGTTGGCCATCTAATGGTTTGTGTGAGTTATTGCATAATCACTGTTCAAGGGGACAGTGATATTGGATGCCTCTGATTAGACATGTGCCTCGCATATTTGCTACAAGTATGTGAGTCTATCAAGGGTTGATATTCTGTGTATGTGAAAGTGCAGATATAATTTTATCTCACTGAAGCTACATATTTAAGAAAGCTGACCTATCTTGTAAGGTTAACCTAACCTTTTTTCATTTCAACATGCAGTCTTGCAAATGTTGATCCAATTGATGTTGCTAGGAATATCACAGGATTAAATCCTGAAACTACCCTAGGTAATTAAATTAATCTATCGTTTTCAACATTTATATTTGTATAGCAGGATTCACAGCTTGTGTCTTGTGTGTCATATTGATGGATTTTTTTTTTCTTTTGCTTTTCTTTGTAGTTGTGGTTGTTTCAAAGACTTTCACAACTGCTGAAACCATGTTGAATGCACGAACGCTCAGGGAATGGATTTCATCTGCCTTAGGGTAAGTGCAGTATTAAGATTATTAGCTCATCAAGACTAGTGTAAAGGCTATTTTGGTGTCCTGGAGTTTCATTCCATGAAGACTACTAAGGTAACTTTGGTTTGAAGACTGGCATGATTCCATTTTCTTTCAGGCCCTCTGCTATAGCAAAGCATATGGTGGCAGTCAGCACAAATCTCACGGTACTGCCATTTTTTTCTTTTGTATAAGCTAACCAAGATTTGTTATCCCTTCACTTCCTTGGATTATTTATGTATATGTAAGCTCATTGACTATTTTTGAATTTTCAATATCTCTCTCTGATCTTTAATTTCTAGTGCAGCTTGTGGAGAAGTTTGGCATTGACCCCAATAATGCTTTTGCGTTTTGGGACTGGGTTGGTGGCCGGTATAGTGGTAATTTCCATTTTTGGGGCATGTTTCATTGCTTTAAAAGTCATTTTGAAGTGCTGTACATTTTTTATTCTGATTGCTGTCTGAAATGCTGCTTGCAGTTTGCAGTGCTGTTGGAGTGTTGCCATTATCTCTACAATATGGTTTCTCAGTAATTGAAAAGTAAGTTTTTTTCCCCTTTCCTTTTGTTTTTTAAGAAGTGTTTATATGCTTAACTTATTTTGGTGGAAAACTGTCGTAGTTTTAGCTTCCTTTATGCAAGACATGGATGGCGTAGAAAAGGGATCTTATGCATATGCTCTTTTGACTTAACTTAGAACAAGAACCTGTTCTAATGTATTTAGATAGTTTCCTGCATCATGTTGATGGTCACTATAGCAGACAAAAAATTACATGGAAAACATCATGTTGTGATGAGTGATAATATATATTGTGGATAGCCTGTAATATTTCTGCCTTGTATAAAATGCTATTTTGTTAGTTGAATCATTTCCAACAATGTAAAGAGTCTTCCTTCTGTTTCTAGCTTCAATGTTTTTTGAAAGAGTAAGAGAAATGATTTTTGTTTGTATATGTAAATTGTAAATGATGGATTTCTTTCCTAAAGGTTTTTAAAGGGAGCATCCAGCATTGACCAACATACACTTTCGGAACCTTTTGAGAGAAATCTACCTGTGAGTACCTGAATATTGATCTGTTTTTTGTGTTTTATTTGCACTCGGTATCTCCTGCTCGTTTATGGATTTCTTGCCAATGTTTCTTTAGCTCATGTGATCCTAGCATTGAATAAGCCTCTGCAAAAATTTATTGTTGCTGGTAATAGTATTGCAGCAGAATCTCCAATCACTTCTTTCCTTCTTCAGTCACCTGTGATAGTCAACTATTTATCGCTTCTGACTTCTCATTTTTTCCTTTCATCTTTGTCATTGATTATATTTCATTTCTTTTTTCCGTGCTTGGTGTCTGTGTTCATTTCATGTGAATAACATATTGCTTTAGACCCTGAAACAGGAAAATTTTAAGTTTGAAATCACGATGCAGTTCTGGATTGTCTATTATTAATTTTTATAAATCAGTTATTTTTAAAATAAATAAATCTCTCTATTAAATCCATTTAATTCTTCAATTAACTATCCTGTTCTCATCTCTTGTATATATGATCAGAGGTTATCATGAGTGTTGGGGTGGATTGGGATTCAACTCACTGCAGCTTTCTTCCTTGCCTGCATCTATCTTGGTTATTAGAGATGTCGCTCTGTCGAGTTCATAATAACATGTTCTTTGTCTACCGTTCAGGTGCTTCTGGGATTGTTGAGCATATGGAATGTTTCATTTCTTGGATATCCTGCCAGAGTGAGTAATTTAGCTCTTTAGGTTTCATTATTCTTAATCAATGATTTTAATTTGAGACTTTCTGTTCTCTTTCAGGCTATCTTGCCTTACTCTCAGGCCCTGGAAAAGTTTGCCCCACACATTCAACAGGCACGTTGGTCACCATCTTGTGTTCAAGGCCTCAAACTTTTTTTGAAAATTCAGTTTCTTTCTGTTCTCTTATATTTCCCCATGCTTTCTATAGGTTAGCATGGAAAGTAATGGAAAGGGTGTATCAATTGACGGTGTCCCTTTACCATTTGAAGCTGGTGAAATTGATTTTGGCGAACCAGGGACTAATGGGCAGCACAGCTTTTATCAACTTATACACCAGGTCATCTACGCTCATCCCTGTCTAAATTGGAAAGATGATGATGATCATTCTGTGACATGCACCCCATCTCCTTTCAATCTGCTTTATTCATTAATTTATGCAGAAACGAGATTCAGTTCTCAGTATGAATGAACTTCGCCCCTGTTGATTATTGAATGACGCATTATCTACATGCCTGTAGGGGCGCATTATTCCTTGTGATTTTATTGGAGTTGTGAAAAGTCAGCAACCAGTTTACCTGAAAGGTGAGAACTCTATTTCTTTTCTTTTCTTTTTTGTCTGAAGGCATCTATTTCTATGATCAAATTTATCATGGATGATAGCTTGTTTAATGTTCCTGTACTGATATTTTGGTTTTTGATCAATGAAAATGATTTTTGGTTTGCTTCTTGTTGTGAAGGTGAGGTAGTGAGCAACCATGATGAGCTAATGTCCAACTTCTTTGCACAACCAGATGCCCTTGCAAATGGGAAGGTACGCTTCTTCTCTCTTTTCTTAGATAAGTTTTAAAGTTCCCAAATTTCATAAAAAGTAACAAACCAGTGAAGAAAATGGAAAAGGTGTTAATGACGTTTGTGACTACTTCTAATGGTTAAATTCCAGACAAACAATTAGATTAACCTTATCTTCTTGCTATAACTAGGAATCCTTCAATTTTAATAATTTTTACTATAGTATTTGTGTGATATAGCATTCTTCTCCAAGTCAGCGAGACAACATGGATGGTAGGGAGTGTCTTATTAATATCATACTTGTATTATTTGATTTTCTAGAGGTACATAATTAACCATAAATGTTTTGTAGACCTCAGAGCAATTGCAAAAAGAGAATGTAGCTCCACATCTTATTCCTCACAAGGTGATTTCCCATATGTTTTTTGTCACTTTTTGCGTTATGGCTGAATTAGTGGCCCTTACCTTTGACTATTTTCTGTGGCAGACATTCTCTGGTAACCGCCCTTCTCTCAGCCTTTTGCTTCCATCACTGAACGCTTATAATATTGGACAGGTTTGAGATCCTCCTGCTTCTTGTGAATTTTTAATTTGAACCTGAGTATATCCTTTATTAAGCATGTTCAGAAAGAAAGCCGGTAGTCATGTAACACGTCACATTGATTCCTGAAAAGTACTCATATCTGATTTCCTGTCATATCCTAAGATAGGCGGCTGTAGAGCACTTCTCAAGTGGACGAATTCCTGATGAGTTTTTGGAGTGAACCATGAAGCAATTATTGCAATCATTAGCCATGTCAACTCAGATCTCTTTTCTTGTGCTGATGGCTAATAAGTCATGGAGATAGTTATCTGATAAGGTTGCCACTAATAATATAAAGAAAAGGAAATTATTTAGAGTTAATGGAAGGCTCTTAGGAATGACCTATTGACCTATGTCCTCAGTCCTCCTAACCGAGGGCTGAAGTCTGATCTCTCTGATGCTGTTACCTCCAAGAAAGGTAGGGCAAATCTGATATTGTACTTCTTCAGTTCTTAATATAAGAACTAATTTGATTAGATTAAAAAAGCTAAATGAATTACTTAATTATAACAAATGTGACATGATCTTTCTAAAATATCCCTATATAACATTAGATTATGTCTATTAGTTTGTGAGTTAGATAAATTGTTTGGGGGAAAATGATAAATATGAGAGATAAAATGGATTAAGATCTTCCATTTAGAACCAAAACCAACTTCTTAATTAGCGCATACATTTAGGACTGAAGGAGTATTATCTCTCTGATGTGCCATATTAGCAGTTCTTTCGACACATGGGTATTGGGCACTTGTGCAAAGTTGCTAGGCCATTTTGGTCCGCACCTCACTTAACTATGCATGTCCTTCCTCATGTTTGGCATGAAGTCTCCCATGACCATTGAAAACATCCATTCTGTTTGGGTAGATCTAAAATACTCTTCCGGTTCTTAATATAAGGCCTAATTGTTAAGTTGATTTTGGTCCTAAATATAAGACTTATTTCTTATATTTATTAATTTTTTCTAAATTAACCCTATGGAGAAGATGATTATGGTGTTTTAAGAAAAACATGTCATATTTCTTGTAAGTAACTAACTTACCTAACTTTCTTAATATAATCAAATTAGTTAAATAGCTCTTATATTAAGAACCGGAGGAGTATATCGTTACTTAAGTTCTACAGAAACACCTCTAGGTGAAAAATATAAAATGTTGGACTCTACCGATTTTCCTTTTGGTATTCACTGTCTCATTTAGTGTTTCCATGGCATAAGCAGAGATGCCTCCTCGAACATGAGTCCTACGCTGGCTGACATGACATGCAATGAAATTCCATTTAGGATCCTCTCTCCCGCTCCACATCATGCTTATTTATGATTTTCATCCCTCTCAAGTTCTCACCTTTGTATTACTAGAATATCTACCTTAGAAGAACCACGTGCAAGATGTTTCTGACAGATGGATTGAAGTATTGAATCGATTTCCTCCACTTCATTTATATTGTTTCTCCACGTCCCCAATCATGCAAATAATTTCGTCAAGAAGAAATTTTTGATTATTCTGATGTAGTATGATTGTGCCTTGCCAATGAGGGTCCTGAAATGCCCGAGCAATTTAGACATATTTCTTAAAACGTTTTTTGAATTCTGTAAAGACTCTGGTCATTGATCATAATGCATGGACTAGATCTTAATGACACTAGTGCATGCCTTCTTGCAGTGAGTTCCATAGTCATACATATTGTGTTCTTGGATTTAATATCAGCTCTCTTCTATGTTCCCAGTTATTGGCAATTTATGAACACAGAATTGCTGTTGAAGGTTTCATATGGGGCATCAATTCTTTTGACCAGTGGGGAGTGGAGCTGGGAAAGGTATGTATAAATATGTGATATCTGGCTCTAATTGCGTTTTTCCAGTTGAGTATGTGAAGTAAAGCGCTAGTTTTGATCTGATTTCAATGGTCTCAAGATTGCGCGCAACATTCTCTGACCATACTTCTGAAACAACAAACGACATTTGTCCTGCAAATAACACTTGCCAAATATAATGCCATGAATGAAAGGATTTTAAAACTTTCTGCAAATAAAGATGGTCAAAAAATTCTTTTTCATGTAATCAAAATAAAACACGTTGGAAAGAAAATCAACTGGCAAAAACCTCTAAAAGACCCGTGCTAGAAAGCTGAAATGTTTTTTACCCTGGTTTTAAAAAAAAAAAAAATCAAAAGGCGGCCAAAACATTCAGTATGGTATTAAATTTTTGCATTATGGTGAAAAAGATCATAATATCATAATTTTGACAGTCTAAATTGCGTTAGTTTTTATTATAGTTAATATATTATTTGATTGAAAATATATGTTATTTGATATTGATGGCAATAATTTGGACTTACAGCTTATTCATACTGAAATATCTAATAATAAATTCAGTATTTCGGTGTACTACCAATAATATGATATAAGTAAAATTGAGTTACTGTTTTCATCTAGGAAAGATGGTAGTTTTTGAAATGATGGGGAAAACATTGCGAGGGGGCTAAACTGATTCAATTTTGAATGTCTATGCAGTCATTGGCCACTCAAGTTAGAAAGCAACTTTATGCATCTCGTTCCAAAGGAGAACCAGTTGAGGGATTCAATTTCAGTACTACAAGAATGTTGAAGAGATATCTTAAGGTATAGCAGGCCCTAATTCTGCTCCTGTGAGAATCAAGAATAGAAAAGTTTTCTTCCTAGGAAGTCCAGGGCTAGGTTAGAAGTTATGTATGGAAAACAAAAAACCTGGTATGAGGCATTTTCCTTTTTGGTTGAGGATAACAGAAATCACAAGAGAATGAATTCACGCTCTATTTCATTATGGAAGAGCGGAATTGACTTATTCATATGATTAATGCTTTAGGTTGCTGGCATAGCCTCTCTTTTTTTTTCCCTCTTTTTTTTGGGTTGGTTACAGGTATCATTATTAATTTCCATGACACCTGTACTAAAATTGATTTTTTACGTGGCAGGCTAGTGCAGATGTTCCGGCAGACCTTCCAACTCGTTTGCCACAGATATAACTGTCTTTTTGCGAGTCATGTTTGCTTCGAAATTGGTCAAAACCAATATCAATCGCATAGCCCTCACGCAGGCAAATAGTTTTATAACCGACTTTCTTTTTGTAACTTGTGAATTCTGATTGCATGTCGCAGGTTACTGGTTATCGTTTGAAATAATTTATAGACTTTACAGAAATCACAAGAGAATGAATTCAAGTTCTTGAAAATTATGAGAATGCCAGTATGCTTCTGTTGGGTGTTAAACAAGGGCATGGCCAGTAATTTGATAATCTTCCTCGATTCCTTTAACTTTGTTTTTCAAAAAGAAAAATGTGTGCTAGAAAGGTGGGTTATTCAGGAAGCTGCGCTATTTTTAGGTTGAGGAACACGGCTAAGACAGTACCTGGTGGCAATGCAATGGCATGTCTTGCAGTGATTTCTTCCATCATTATGTTGGGTGCACACTCGTTGGCATGTTGAAGGTAATTCCGTTCAACTCAAGAAAGGTGAGTGGGATGCAAGGGGGGAGCGTGTATATGATTGATGACATGGTTTCGTCTAGGTGGGTGGGTATTGGGACAAATGGAACTGTGAATGGGGCCACGGGACAGCTTAATTTGTAGCGAATAAATGATTTAGGGTCACAGGTTTAAACAAGATAGGATTCGGAGCACTAATTGAAAGGAGAAAAAGTTAAATGACAAAGGACGTCTCATCAACTGTATAAATTCTATATTCTGACAACACTCGTCGTTCCAGGGACATGCAAACATAACCTGAAGGAAATTTAAATTTAAAAAAAAAAAAAAAACCTCTTTCCAGTCCATATAGTCTTAAGTACATGAACTTGGTGAAGAGTTTGTTTTTTTAATCTCAATTCACTCTGTTTCTCAACCATTGATTACACATATGTTTAAGGATGATTTTAATTGATGAAATAATGTGCAAATGATTAAAAGGATGTTTTAGGAAGATTAATATATAAATATATATTACAAATAATTAAGATAACTAATTTTTTTAATTTTTGTTATTAGGCCCTTAAATTGAACACCTCTATGGGGCAGGGGGTACAAATTAATAGACAGGTTACGAGCAGGTAATGCAAGTTGGATTTAAATTCGGCTACTTGGCAGGTCCAACATAGTCTTGACTCCAATCATACTTTCAACCTCAGGCATGTAATTCTTTAAAAAAAATAAAAAAAATTAAACACAGCCAAATTCAATAAAGTGGAGAGTTAGAGAATTTTGTTGATCTTTCCTAATGAAAGATCATATTGCAGAAACACGAACCTTTGTATCGAGGAAGAATCTAAGATGTACTATGGACGAATGCTTTTGGGGAAACGAGCGTAAAGCAAGAAAGAAACATTGCTTTGTGAAAGGACATATGTGGGGTCTTTCTGTTATTGTTTGAGCGGATTAGGCGTGCTCTCTGCCCGTCACGTTATAATCCTTGCTTCCACCACCCCTGCGCCCCTTTGTGAACCACCTAAAAAAAATAAAAACCTTTTTCTTTTAGGAAGGACCTGCAATTAATTCATTCAATCTTGAGATTCCGATTCCCCCACTTTTTTATCTGGTTTTCTAGCGATGCCATGCTACTACTTCGTTGTGCATGTTTGCTTAACCGTGTTCCAAAAAAAAAAAGGTAAAAATCTAAAGAAAATTTTTAAAAAAAAGTTTGGAAGTGGAATGACCACTGTAACTTCCAAAGGGGAATTGTAATTACCGCAACGCGCCAACCACTCCTTTGAACTGGAGCAAGTGTGGTAGTGGGTTATTGGTTTGCACGCCAAGCTCAAACATACAAAAAATCCCAAGTATCGGAGCAGGCAATGATGAAACACATGGAATATTTAGCAGTTGTGGCAGAGCGGCAGGCCTTGTTTGTATTATGTTCGCTTGTCTCCTCAGCAGCTTACACCACTCACCCATTCCTGTGAAGTCCTCTCATCATCACAACTTTATCCCTCACATAACCAAAAAAACAAATCATTCCCCCACACCATTCACTTCCTCTCTATTATCCCACCCATATATATGCTCAGGTCTAGCTCCCTTCCATAGCCAAACCCATAGTGATTCTTTCTTTCTCTCTCACATACATGAAACGAAGACTAAATATGGAGGTGAAGAACAGGGAGTACTGTGAGAGAGAAGCCAAGGAGACAGAGCACGAGGAGGACACAATACACACATTTGTGTTCACAGCTGGTACGGTTCTTCTAATGGTGTGTCTAAAACGCTTTCTGGTTGAGCAGTGGCGTGCCTGGGTGTTTCTTATCCTCAATCTCATCCTCTTGGCCATTCTATTCACGTCTCTGCGTCCTCGAAGTTCGGCAAATGAAGGCATTGCTGAAGAAGAGAAGAATGACAGGACAAAGAAGAAGAAGGCGCCCGAGTTTTCTCAAGAAATTGAAGACGCAAAAGATTGCTACGAAGAGCAGTGTTGGGCAAGTGATGTTCAGAATGAGAGAGATGAGAAGGAGGAAGAGGAGGTGGTGGTAGAGGCGGAGGATGAGGCGCCACGGCTGTCAAAGGAGGAACTGAATGAGAGAGTGGAAGCTTTCATCGCCATGTTTAGGCAGCATTTAGTCTCCGATGCTAGACGAGCCGAAAATTACAGGTTCCAGAGAAACTCCAACATGACACCTAAGGGATTAAAGTGTCTTATTGTAGAGGCTTAATCCTCACAATTTTGTATTCTTTCCTAACTTTCTTTATTAGAAATGCCCTTACATTTTGTCTGGGTTGTCCCTATCTGGGTGCCTCTTATTTACCCTTTCCATAATTACTAATTACTAGTAATCATCATTTATAATAAAAACTTCATTCGCTAATTACTTTTTTCCAATTGAATGAAAGCCTACTTTTTTTGGGGGGGGGGGGGGGTTCAATATAAAAAGCCCTATTTGATTCTCTACTTATCCGACTCCACTATCTATAGGGCGGCAATGAAGTAGTACAAAATAACGAGAGCACCATCAGTATCATGAGTTGATTTAGCAAGTCAATTTACATATTTCTTGGCTCCATTCACTAATTACCAGTACAAAGATTCGGTAGCCTATTTCAGCATATACAATTCCGTAAAAACCACGTTTCAGAACACAACACAGATGTATTTTACATTGAAGCAAAACGTAGCGTTTCATGTTCTGAACGTGGATTTTGGGGCGGCCAACATCAAACACAACCTTAGTCTAGCATAAGTCGAGAAATTTGCGTGTTACCTACAGTAAGGAATGGATCAGCGCCAATTGAAGTCTTATCCATGATGAATTTGAAGGTCTCGTGATTAATTTATATGTTCTAGTTCAAAACTGTTTTTGATTTTTAATGCTGCAAAAAAAATGGATTTTTCCCCTGTATTTTTTTTTAAAAATTAGTTTACTCTGACTCGACAATGAAGCAGGCTCTTCCCTTCACAAGTCCATAAATACTGTTTATTGATGCATTCTCTTGATTTTTACCTGCAGATACCATTATATTCTGCCACCATCTTCCAAACTGAAAATGATGGTGAAAGAATGAATGTGGTTTTGTATTTTTTTTTAAATAAAAAACTGGATACTATTACAATCACTACTAAGTACAAGAAACATCAAAGCTCGGCTTCCCTTATTGCCTTCCACCTCTTGGAAAAAAGGAGGAGGGTGATCGAGTATATGAAACGGAATATCTACCTGATGTGCTAATTTAGCTAAGTAGTCGGCAGTAGAATTTTGATCTCTATGTACATGATGTAATATAACTTGCCAATTCCTAAAACCTAGCTTCCTCAACAATATCTCTAAAAGGGTGGTTTAAATCACATCCCCTAATTATCAGATTGACAGCTTCCAAACAGTCAGAGAATATGATTATTTTGTCTAGACCCTTGTTCCAGCAGATGTTAAATCCATGGATAATACCAATTAAGTCAGCAATAGTATTTTAAAGTATCTGAAAAATATTCTAAAGAACTTAGAACAATTCCGAGAACACGTCAGTGTAAGGAGAATAACCATGACTTTTTTATCCTTCATGCTCTGCCTTGCGTCTAGTAGTGGAAAACGAAGATTGGGAACGAAAGATGCCATGGATCGAAAAAGATAGGAAATAATGATATTGCAAGTGAAGGCCAGTTGGTCGATGAATTCTATTCAATCAAATATATTTCTCCAGTCATTAATATAGGACCTAATTATTAAATTAATTTTGGTTATAAGAGCTATTTTTCATTTTTGTCAATTTTTTTTGAATTATCCATATGAATACTTCCTCAAACATAATCAAGTAAGTGAGGGAGAGAAAATATTAAAAAAGATAATTATGATATTTTAAAAAATATATATATCACATTTCTTATAATCAACTAACCTATCTAACTTTTTTAATCTAATCAAATTAGTTAAATAGGCTTTCTATTAAAAACCGGAGATTTTTTTTTTTAACATAAGACTATCATGTTAACTCTTAAATATAAAAAATTCTTTGACCTTAACACCGACAAATGAGACAACACTCGTATGGTTAAATATGGGGTTGGGGTGCGATGCCTATCCAATGGATCCAACAATAGTTAATTGAATAGAACCTTGTAAGACGTCCCCCCCCCCCCCCAAACTTTCTTTTCTTTTCTTTTCTTTTTTAGGGGAAAAAACATTGCGTTTATACAACCTTGGCCTTCATGTTTGGAGAAAGAAGCTTGCTCCCATAGTGCCCCTTAGTTGTCTTTCAACTTATTTTATGTCTACGTTTTTTTGGCTCATGATAACTTCTAATACTTTTTGGATACTTGACACCTCGAGTCCATTTCGTGTTTAACGCTGAAGGCTTATCATTGGCCACCACAGTCTATCTTGTTTTCTAATTGGAGTAGGCGATTAACTCAATAAGGTTTCAGCAAAATATCCCACATCGGTACGTAATTAAGAAAAAAATGTAGAAAACTAGAAGCCGCTCTCAAAAATCAGGTGCAGAAGTTGTGTGGTGCTTACTTTGCTTCTCGTCATTTATGTGGACTGCATGGACTGGACTACATGATGAGAGCCATGGACGAGGAGAACCAGAAGCCGAGATCTCGGGGGTTTCCCACGTTTTTTATTAGGAATCACAAAGAAGGCAAACCATCAGAGAGTTTGGGGGAAAGAAAAGGTTTCCCGCACATATTTAGTTTAAGTAAATAGAAACACAGACAAATCGAAATTGTTATATTTGTCCCTAATGTGGTTTTGAATGGACTTCTGTTACAGATGAAGTTAAGGATGAAAGTGATGGCACCAGCGGCGATCTTTCCTCTCGATGCTTGGAATGTGACCCATGTGTTTTAACAAATGAGCTAAGGTATAATTTCAAATGATTTTCTTTTGAGAAAACAAATCGGGTTGAAAGAAGAGAATTTAGTTTTCGGCCTATGTGCATAGTAACGCGAGGTTTTGCCCGTTTTAGAATCTTTGTAGGTACATGGAACGTTGCTGGAAGATCTCCAGTAGAAAGCTTGGCCGTAGATTTGGATGAGTGGTTGAGTTTCAAGAATGCTGCAGATATATATGTTCTAGGGTAATATTCGATCCCGGATCACATAAAACGACTAAAATTACTTATATTTTATAACTAAGAAAGAACTTTACGTCGCACTTAATTAAATGATTTTATTTCAGGTTTCAAGAGATTGTGCCGCTGAACGCATTAGCCGTGATAGGAACAGAAGACCCAACAGTGGCAACGAGCTGGAACCTGCTTATAGGAAGAACTTTGAACGATAAGTATGGATGCCCATGGTTAAAACCCGTGCTAAATTCATCATCCAGTGAAAACTACGTGCACGAAGAGAATACCAAACAAGAAGATAGAACGTACACGCTGGTGGCAAGCAAGAAGATGGTAGGAGTTTTCATTAGTGTGTGGATGAGACAGGAAGTGCTCAACAAGTACAGTATCTCTAATGTGAGAGCTTGTTCAGTGGCATGTGGCATAATGGGCTATTTGGGAAACAAAGGTTCCGTGGCAGTTAGCATGTTGATCGAAGGAACGAGCTTTTGTTTTGTAGTTGCTCACTTAGCATCAGGGGAAAAGAAGGGTGATGAAGGCCGAAGAAATCACCAGGTTTTGGAAATTTTTAGGCGGACCTGTTTCCCCACAACTCCTACCCACCATCATTATCCTAGTCCTCTTACCATCTTAGGCCACGAGTAAGTTCCCTCTACCCTTCTTTTACCTTGTCTTTTTTCCAGCATTATTTCTATTGGTAACAGATTAAAAAGAATATTTAGATGTGATCAAAAGAAGCCCAGTATGCCATCTAAATTGTTGAAAAAATAAATCCTAATTGAGCGCTCAAAAAAAAATTAAAAGATCGATCTAAAGATTCTGAACTCCAAAAACGCTATTCGCATTAGGTTTGTTACTGTTTTGGGCCTTCTAATGATATTTCTTTTTCAAAAGCAGCCCAATATGCTAACTATCTAAATCCTCAAAAACCTTTCTAAATTGACTTTTAAGGGTTTGCCCCACGTTTAATTCTATTCGTGGTTTGGTAGATACCTCGGCGATTTCAATAAATCAAACCGCACGGAAAAAAAAGAGGCTCTTTTCTTTTATAATAAAGTGGCCGCTTCAGAATATAAATTTCAATTAACATGCCACCAACACATGCAGCTAATAGACACATAGTCAATTTTTCCCATGCTTTTTGTCTTCTCCTGTGAAGGGAAACTTCTAGATCCACATTTTCCACATGTAAAAATTGATTGTCTTAGGTGGTAGTGTGGAGCAACCCTTGAATGAAACCCCCAATTGTATAACCTCAGATGGCCGAACTGTAGAGATGAAGAGGCCTTCAGTGGATTATATATCTCTTCTATAGAGCAGATTGATTCAATGAAAAACTTTTTCTCACTGTTTGTACTTTACCTCAACAAAGACACACTCATTTTGATAAGCTTTTATTTATTGCTTATATTCATTTTATGTCTGGGACACTAATTCTAGATCTAAGCAACAGTCATCAATTTGCTTCACATTTGAATTCCTATCTTCGATTTGTGTGTAATTCCTACAAATGGTGCGAGAAAAACATCTTATTTTGTTGCACTAACCACAAAAACAGTCGGATATTCTGGTTTGGGGATCTCAACTATAGGCTATACCTGGAGGATAGTCTTGCCAGACAGCTGCTAAGAAAACAGGACTGGAAAGCGTTGCATGAACATGACCAACTCCGAAAAGAACAAGAAGGAGGTAGGGTATTCGCAGGTTGGAAAGAGGGAAGCTTAGAATTTGCCCCTACCTATAAATACTCGTCCTCGAATTGCAATACATATTCTGGCGGCCTTCCAAGCACATCTGGCAAGAAGCAAAGAACTCCAGCGTGGTATGGTAACTTACCCCATTTCCACTATATGCCACGATTTTCTTTATGTCACTCAGAATGCACTAAATCTACGGTGGCAGGTGTGACCGAATCTTATGGTATGGAAAAGAGATAAACCAACTTCACTATTTCCGGAGCGAGAGCAAGTTCTCTGACCACCGCCCAGTTTCTGCGTTGTTCTCTACACAGATTGAAATTAGGTCACCCAGCACAGGGCTTGTTGCTTGTTGGAACGAGCCCTCAACCATATCGCTCTCAGACCCTGTAAGCTATGCTGATTTTTACAGTCGTGATTTCTATCCACCAAACAAATTTTTATACAGGTTTTCTGTTTGGATCATAGTACTATGGCTACACTTAAATTTGGAAACCTGTCTAAAATTAATATCCTTGTTAATTATAAAGCAGGGGATGAGCAAAGTAGACGAGGAGGGAAATTCTACATTATTGTCATTGTTAATGCAAGACGTAGAAGGCTGTTCATACCAAAACTGTAGATTACATGAATGGTGTCACTCAAGCTTTGCTGATCAAAACCATGATTCAATCTCCTAAATTTCTCCTGATTCAGCTCCGTGGGGATGAGAGAACTTGGAAGGTTAGAACTAGATGGGAAGGTACAGAACTGTACTAATTTTATCACTACCGAGCATCAGTATTTATCTTACGGCGAGTCAGTTAATTCGATTAGGCATCTTCATTTGCCACGAGAAGATCACTGACAGCCTCCACCAACTTCACAATAGTCCACCAACAATCACCAATATGGATTCAGAAGGCTGTCAAGCAATTCCAACAAATAGAACCAACACATCCAGTCCGTCCAAAAAGTACTTTGGCAGTACTTCAACAGAATTTATCAAGATTTGTCAACAGAATTCTCTTATCATGTCCTCGCTTCAAGAGAACGAGTACAAAATGAACGATACAAAGAGATCATGTATAACAGTAATTTTCTACCGGTGAAATAAAACGCAGCGTCAAGCTCAAACTCTGTGGATTATAAAATCCTCACCGCCAAAAAATTAAGAAAATATAATTCACTATGCACATGCAAACATTGGACATCAACTAAATCAACATTTCTATTTTCAGAAGCACTCGGACGAACTGATGAAAACTATAGAAAGGAAATTTGTCATTCTTTGGAAATCGAGGCACAATTTCCATGAAAGCCAACGACAGTGCAGAGCCATAAGCCACAGATTCAATTAGAAAACAATTCGAAACCGCACAAGTATTGAGAACGAGATTTGCTAAAACAGATCACACGGCAGAAATCTCATCTCAACTGAGAGGCGCCTGGCCTTTTATAACGTTTAACGATTCAAAATAATTTGACCCAAATAAAGTGCCGTGACTGCAGAGAAATTTCTTCAAAAGTGATATGGAGGAAATAAACTAACCTCAAACGTCAAGCCTTTGAACTGGAGTTTCATACCAGAACAATCAAACTTCGCAGCTTACCAAGTGAGTCTTGAAGAGCGAGATCTTTGCTGCGCTAGGAATTTTCTTTCTCTCCGCACAGCTCAAGTTTAAGCTCCTCGATCTGCTTTCTTGGCTTAGCTCTGCGAAGTTCAAATTCCGTAAACATGGAGATGATTAATGTTCCTTGATCGAAGAAAAGAATTGAAAACAACGGAGGACAAGCGTCTACGTAATATAAGTTTCGGGGAAAATGCAAGAGAACGTGAGAAATCTACGCTATCATGAGCGCCTAACGTTACCGCATTCAAAGTTTTTATTGCCTTGAGCCAACTCCGTAAGAAGAATGTGGCTGAGCTTATGTGTTCTTCTGAAACATCTCAAAGCGTGAAAAGAAAAATATAAAAAATTATTATGGAGCTTCTAATTTTCTGTAAACAAAGAAAGAAGCAGAGGTTAGATAGTGCCGAGGACCTTGAGGTTACACACAGAAGAAATCGCAGATGAAGCTTGGAGTTTTTTCTGCATATCGGTTACCCCTTCCCGCCATAGACGTTTCCTTCACTGCTCGCTGGGGCAAATTTATAGCTTCACTATTACGGGACAAGTCTTATGGGCCTCCTGGACTTCATCTGGAAAGGTTGGGAAACCCAATCCACAATGACATCAAAAGCCCAATTTGAATTTCTAATATCAAATATTGGGCCACAACATCAAATTATAGGCCCATATTCATCTAGCAAACGTTATGGCCGCTGCTAAATAAGCTCATAAACTCCAACGGAGCCTTTTTCAGTCCTGTTAATAGAATTGACAGTGGATTGTATCCAAAAACATAAAAAGAGAGAGAGAGAGAATTGAGAGTGGGTGAAACAATTATTTTATTTAACATTAGCACTTAAAACACTAAATTTCCGCCAAGAATAATATACATACGTATCCATAAAGTCAATATATCTGTATATAATATAAAATTTATTAGAAATGACTATTCATGTGTCGTGCAAAATGTGGGCTTATAACTATTTATCACGGATATTTATCTTAATTAATGTCTCTGAAAGCCATTGATTTTGACGGACTAGGAAGGAAGGCAGACGGCTGACCATCTAAAGTAAGCCCTAGTGCAAAAGAGGAAAAAGAAAGTTATTCTTACAAAATGTTCGCTCCCAACTTCAGTGTGTCCTTTAATTTACAAAAACTTACGTGAGTCTCAAAATATTGATTAATTTTTTTAGGGTGAAAAAATCTATTGACTAATTTCATCCAAATAAATGGTTCATTAATAAATTGAACTTCAATCATAGAAAGTTGATAAAGCACTCCCTTTATATTATTGGTTTAAAATGCATCTAGCACCCTAAAAATATTTTTTTTAGATGCACCCTAAAAATTTTTTTTTAGATGTGTCTAACACCTAAAAATTTTTTAATACATCTAACATCAAAAAAGTAAAATATTTTAGAGTATTAGATGTACCAAAAAAATATTTTGAGGTGTTAGATACAATACAAAATATTTTGAAATGTTAGATACATCACAAATATTTGGGGATATCAGTTGATGCTCGTCTTAACATGTCGTGGTCAAAAAAATTTCAAAACACCTTCCCTGCCAGAGATCATTTTCATGGGTGCATATATTGGGTACGGCGTGGGGAGAACAAAAAGAAAGGACTAGCCACTCATTTGGTTATTCTTTAATACTCTTTCGATCTTAAATATAAAACTCTTATATATACTAGTATAAAAGTTTTATATTTAGAACTAAAAAAGTATTTAGGATGCACAGGTATCATCGCGCGGAACACATATGTACCATTTTCTACTCACTTAAGTTTTAGATCGTTATATATATGTGTGTGTGTGTAATCAACGTGATCATGCTTTAGCGATTTGGATCTAATATTCTCTGGGCTATTCAGGACACGTTTTTTTTTTTTTCTTTTGTGAAAGAATAGTACTGCAAGCACACAAGCCAAAAAGTTTTCAAAACTCAATGATATCGTTGATTAAGGAGTTTAAAAATATTGATGTTGGGTTTGGGTGATTATTGAATATTGTGTTGTTCAGATGTGGGGGGTCCTTTAATGGGCGTATAGATGATAGACAGAGGAGGGAATAGAGAGGGGGGGGGGGAATGGAAAAAATGGTGAAGAAGATGAAGGAGCAGTGAGGGGCACTTAGTACTATCATCATCATCATCATATATGATTCCAAACACAGCTATTGCGGCGTGCGTATTGATGCTTCCATTAATTCGCAGATGACGACCTCACGCATGCTCGCAAGTGCCGTTCCCTGTTGCCCCCCTTAGCTTCCGTGTATAAACTTGTCACATTTATAATATACTCATGCGATCTATTTATAAGATAGAGAGAAAAATATTTTTGTCTTATTTATAAATCATTTCATTAAAATTTTAGTATGAATGTACTATTTCATTCTTTATTTATTATAATATAGATAGGTATTTTTTTTAAATGTGTATATTTTAAATATGGATAAATTTAAAAAGTTATTATATTTAAATAAAGAGTTAATACATTTTAAGGTTTTTCTTAGTCTTTATAAAATATGTTAAAGTGCCTTATAAATAGGATTATAGGAGTATCAATCATCTTAATTATGGATTTTTTTTTTTTTTTGCTTTGGCAGTACACACATATATATGTCTCTGCTGCTAAGTAGCATGTGGGTGGCCTCCATGCCTAACGAGTGAGAACATGGGGTTGGTGTTGGTCACGTCGCTGAGTACTGTAGACTTAGGAGATGCGCTTTTCCTCCATTTTCCCCCCGTCTTTTTCAGGATTTATATATATAAGGTGACTTTGTACATTTTATAATTTGCTTGGTTGGAATAATGGTGCCAAATGAATCAATGAACTATTGATGGTGACGTGGATGAGGAGGGAGCAGAAAAAGCGAGGGACATGACACTCAGAAATCAGAATTGGCGACAGCAGAGGAGGGAGTAAAAGTCAAGGAGATGCGTGGCATCAGTGACCCGTGGGGTGGGCCCCTCTCTGATATTACGGGCTGACGTGACGCTTAACTATTGGCCAGTGCACTGCACTGCGCTCCCTCTCTCTCTCTCTCTCTCTCCGACGCAGCACCCAAGTATGTGCTTCACTTTAATATCAATCAACTAAAGTGCGCACAGGGAACAGAACCCCTGATCCTCTTTCATTTTCCCTTCTCAGAAAAGGGACAAGACTTGACCCGCCATTTCTCCGTGTCCACACTCTTCATGATTATGAAATGTGACTCATACGCCCTCTTATTCACTTCTATTTTCTCGTTATGTTTTTGGAATTTTCATCCTATACCCGTACTATACTATTTTTTTAATATATTTTATAACAGCCTGATTATGTTAAAAATGTTCGAATTATCCATTAATCAACGCAAGCCCAACAGTCCAATTTACATACAAGGGAAAAGGCCCCACACGCGCACACGTGCACATATTAACTAAAACACCAACACAGGGAAGGTACAAGTCCGCCTCCGCTACCGCCACCACCACTGAATGTCGCCAAAAACAAAAAGCAGCTGTACCCAAGCTAGCCATTTCAAACAAACAGTACTTTCGTTCGCTTTCATCTTGTCTAATCATTCGCACTACGAAATAATAGGCAACGCCAATTGCCTGTGTATGAGTATGACCCGTCTTCTAATCAACTCTCATTTTTTGTCTTCTTCCTCCCTTCCTAATTACTATTTCTACTCCTCATTACTTATAATTAGGAGTGGAGGTAGTATAATTACTTTTTTTCTTCTTCATATTCTACTTTAATCAATGAATGAATGCCAATGCCTGCATAGTTGAACAATGATTTTCAATTATTCTACTTTGCTGGTTACTGTAGGAACTCGCATGAAGACGATGTTAGCCCAGATCAAAAAGATGTCAGCCCCTATATTTGTTCATATTGGGTTGGTGTCTTTAATTTAGAAAATGGACGAACAGAGGGCGCATGTTTAAGTGGATAATGGTGGCCTCACATTTAGGATGGAGATTGTTAAGATATTAAATATAAGTGAACATATAATCTATTTGACATAAGGCTGCGAAGAAGTCTTACGTTAGAAGAGTGTTTGAATAAAAATCAAACCACGATTTTAGAAATGATTTTACAATATTCAAAATATATATATGTGAAAAAATTTTGTTTCGAAACATTTTTAAAAAGTGCTCTGGCACTGTCCAAATACCTTCTAGATAGGGCTGACATAAGTAGAAGAACCTGTACATTCACTATTTTAAAACTTTGGGTTACTATGTGGTGTTAAACCCACTTTTATATGTACATATCATATTGTTGCTAGTAATCTCAATTTTTGGAATGCCCCTCAAGCACAA